TAATCAGCCTGAGATGCAAAAATCATTGTTGTCATGCGGAAGGCAAGTTATTGAGGGTGAGGACGGATTTACGTATTCTAGATTGTTGCACTCGAGTCGGCCGACCAACAGCTTCTTTTCGAGGAATTTCGGTACGAACCGGTAAGTTTTTCTGTTGTAGCATAAAAGGTTATTCAAATTTTTTCAAAACTGTGTTTTTATGCGTTCTTTTTCTTTTGGTCTAGTATAAATTCGTCGAAAAAAGGCAAAACCATGCAACGTGTTCATTGGGTCATCAACAGCAAAGGCAAAGAAACAAAGTCTCAATGAAAAGTTGTTCTGCGGACCGGTATTCTTGCTTCAACTCTGCGGTTTTCTCTTGCGTTTTCGGACGGCGTGCTTCGATTGTGCTTGCTCAGCGATATGGTCAGAGACGTCCGCACCGTTTTGGTTAAATAGCATTGAAATTTCAGATCAGTGTGCTTCCTGGGAAGGACATGACCAACAAGCAGGAGAATAGTCGTAGCCAAGCATCCAAGAATTACAACGATCTTGTCCGGAGTTTTGCGCTGCTGAACAATCAGTATGTTCAGCTACGACGCGCATATGATATAGTTTGTTTTGCGTGATTTTTACCTTGAAAATACAAGGTGCTCGAATTACATTTCAATATTTAGGCAGCCCTAATAGTCGATAAGCTGCCTTACCTGAAAGTGGCACTGTTTAAGACGAGGTAATGAGACTCAACGCATACCAAGGCATAGACAGATCCAGGGACGTGGGGAGGGAGGGCGATGGATCTTCCGCCCCTTCTAGAGGCAAAAACATCAATGCCAAAAGTCTCGGTCTAAAGCTAAAACTGTAGAAAACTCTTCCATACCCCCCTCCCCTATCCGCCTCTCAGGAAGCTGTTCTGGATCCACCTATGCACCAGGATATCTCGAGACGACTAAAGCTTTGCCAAAGTATTTCTTTTGGGAGAATTGTTGCGCTAGTAATACCTCCAGGAGAAAGAGGAAGATCAAAATCACGATCGCCAACAAACTGACCGCGATTTAATGCGGTATCGGTCAAGGCAACTGGACGAGTTGTTAGTCAAATAGTGTAACAACCGGACTGTGTACGAACTACAGTTGATCCGAGCATGTTTACTCATGTTGTCACTATGAATTACTTTGCTATCACTGCTCAAGAATTTCGATTTTGAAAATTATTTTTAATGTTCTTTGAAAATTTAGTAAAAGGATCTTTTTACAGATTTTGAGAATTCACTTCGTTCATTTTTTTCAGCTTCAAAAAAAGTATGAAAGTGAAATGTTGTCGAAAAGCCGGGAAATTGAAAGGCTGGAAAGGGAAAAATCGTTGCTGAAGGAGGATTGTAACTCCCACGATATAGCCGCCAAGCAACAAATGGAGTTACGCGAAAAAGAAATAATCGGAAAAATGCGTAAGGTAAGCGATAACTGATTACCATCTATGTACGAGACAGACATATCTAAACTGTCGAAATTTGATCTACAAGACATCGAATTTTGATAATTCTATACGGATCCATGAAACGAAGCATGGTAGACGTCAGCAAGTTGCAGCACATTTTCAGTAAAGTACTGTGATTTCTTCCTGATACAAGTGATGTTATCAAGGCAGTGTGCACCAAAAAGTTGGGCTGATAATTTGGTAAGAATGAGAAACAAAGCGGATTACTGAATGATACCCAATGTTGAAAGAACAAAGGGAAGGATCCGCTTAAACGTCTGTATGGAGTTATGCGGATTAAAAAACCCAAATTAGAAAACTGCTAAACTTGCTGGCTGTATCAGTGGCAGGAAAAAATGCAACGATGAAACAACAGCTGATCAAAGCAAAACTCTGAAGCATCCAGTGCAGGTAACTGTTTCTTAAAGCAAATTTAGCAATAATCTGTCTTGTTCCCGTCCAATAATTTCGCAAAAACATATTATACCTTACTGCATTTTGTTTAATTTGTGCCTTTTAACGTAAATTACCCGAGCTTGAAATGGCATCTGGCAGCTGTTCAAACCGATGACATGAGTAAGCAGTCGAGCTAAACATTTTATTACGAATACATTGAACGAAAAATCAAACTAGACTAATGCGGACCGAATATTGTTTTTCCATACTAAACCTCTATTACCAGTATGACTGGCCAGGAAGCTTTTTTTAAATATTTTTCTGGTAATTTCAGGAAATTGTGCGAATCACTGATGAGAAAGAGCAGCTACTGCGGGAAAATGAGGAGCTTGAGCAATCACGCGAAGAAATTCATCGAAAATTGCTGGAACAAACTGCAAAATGCAGACGCATGAAAGCTGATCGTGAGATGCGCGAAGGTGAACTCAGAAATGAGTACGAGGAACAGATCAGTGGACTTACAAAGCAACTAAATGCCCAAATTCGGTTAGTTTAAAGAAATATTAGAGGATTCATGAAAATGGTGAGAGAATGCAATAGCTGTGGATTTCGTTTCTGAAGGAAGAGGAACGAAAGCGAGAAACGAACGCTAAAACTACCCGCAGGACGATCGCCAGGTCTTGGATAGAAGCAACAGGCTACCAGCTGCGTTAATGGCTCAAGGTTTCCACCCGAGCATCATTAGCGTAGCCACGAAAATAGTAAGTCCTACTGAGGTTCAGGATCCTAGCGCAACTATTCGATGCCATTTTGGTGAACCCTTAGGATTTTGTGGATGTTGAGAATGTCTGAGGGAAATCACATTCAAGGAATAACATAATATTGGTCTCCCAAGCCTCAAGGTACCTATCTCACCGTTGTGGGAGTACAAAGTTCCATTGTGCTTGCTTTTCAGTCACTTCAGAAAAGCCTTCAAACTCAGTTGATCATAACGCTATGCTCAATGTTCTCCTAAGCCAAGGAGTCGATCCAGCATATCTTGTTGTTATCGAGTTGAATGGTGAAGTTACCAGCTGGATCGATAGCGTGAAAACGAGCGTCAATGACATACAACTTGCTCAAGAGTACTCAAATACATAATATTGCTAGTTTCGACTGCAAGTGGAAAATTTCACGAAGAACCAAATTTGAAAAAAACCAGTTGAACATGTATCCCAATACACCAGAGGTGGAAACCTCCAATGGATCCCAGAGTTCCATGCGTTTTCTTCATGTTTAGGATGCTAAAGCACAAACGATGTGCCATGGTTTGTCGGCAACACATACACGAAACAGTCATTTATTTTGCAAAAGAAAATGTAACAGCGTTGATTGAAATATTCGAGACAATTTTTCCAGTTCACCAAACAGCACAACAATCTGACAATTTATAATCACCGGTTGTTGAGAAAACGATTCAAACAACAAAACAACGGATATGACAAAAAGAAAATCGAAATTGCGAACGGCAGAGCCTTCGCTGCTTTTCATCCCACTGAATAACCAATTTTGGCAATACTTTGATGACGAAAAAAATCCATAACTTCTGAATATTTGCTTCGGATTTGTGATTTTTTCAATTTCCGGGCATCATAGTGAACGATCTCTGCTTCTCCTCTTTATAGCTCGTATCGATCAGG